TTTTTCCCCAGAAGCCCAAGGTTAAAATACTACTCATCCATTTGAGAATTGCAGGTTAATGAGATCAGCCTTTGGCACATTAGAAACAGTTTAGAAAGAATTGTCATTTGACATCAAGTTGGTAACATAAATCATAGATCCATAACTGAAGTATGTTATGGGTACTTAACTAGCAGCTAGCAGCTTCTAGAGTTGAACATATCAACTATGAATGTGAAGCTTTCTTATTAAGCCCCTACAACTATATTCCCCTACAACTTGGGGGGAAGTAACTGAAAGGATAACATCTTAATAGTGCAAACAGGGTAGCTGAGAAATAAGTACTAACTTTTTTTGAATCCTAATACAGAATATTTATACAAATTGCAAGAACAGATTTAGCTGCTTTGAGGGATGACAGAGTAAGGAAAATGTTTTTTTTTTCCTTCCTGCTTGGAAAATATTGTGAACACTTCATTATAAAAACGTAGTGAATTCATAGATAATGTCACTGGGGAAATTAAAGTAGAAAGACAGTATGAATGCAGGTGTCTCAAGGTCACATCTTTCCATCTTGTTGAAATGACATCTTACTAGGAGAATCTAAAGTTAAGAAGCAGAGGGGAAAAATTATATCATGCAATATAAGGTTATTTCTGAAGTCACCCCTGTTCTTGTTATTACTGTTTACTCAAGGCATACATATGCTGGCTGATTCTCAGTGGTTCTATAACAGATTCTGGTAGATTTAGTGCAGGTAGTCTTCACTTACAATAGGGACTGGCAACTCTTATTAATCAGAGCAGTCATCTCTTAATCGTGACATCACATGACCATGGCTTGTGACTTCCTGCTGGCTTCTCCATTCACTTTGCTTGTCAGAACTCAGCTGTGAAGGTTGCATATGGTGGTCATGTGACTATGGGACGCAGCAACCATTGTAAAGGTGTACTGGTTGCAAAGTGCCCAAATTGCAATCACATTACAGGAAGATGCTACAATGCCTGTAGTTTCAAGAACAAGCCGTAAGTCTTGATTTTCAGCATCGTCATAACTTCAAGGAGAGGAGGAGGAGGGAGGGGAGGGAGGGGAGGGGAAGAGATAGCAGTGACATAACTACACTTGGAAGAAATGGAGGAGGCAGATTTTATTAAACTAAGAGGAAAAAGTAGGGTAAGAAAGATATTCAATGGCAGGCAACCTTGAAACGGCAGTAAGAACACAATACATTCATAATTTCATTTATTGGGTTTTTTCCTCTCTTCTGTATACTGTTTCTGTTTACTAACTGATTAATATCAAAGTGAGCATATGAAACAACTAAAGAGACCAAGAGTTGCTTTCCTATCTGTTTGGGATAGAAAATTGTCCTAGCCACTCTGGTTAGATTTGCTGTGAGAGTTGACTTAAAGTTGGAGTTCCTTAGTTGGAGAAGGCCATAGTTGCTGACTGAGGGACCCTGGCTCAGGACCAATGAAGAAGCTACTCTTTCTGTCCAAAAGTATCTGACAGAAAAGATTGGACCTCTAATTGAGGAAACCTTCACCATGTAGCCATTTAAGCTGATAAGAGAGCCCAGCAGCAGCCAAGAGCTTCAGGTAAAGGTCTCAACAGATTTACCAGGGATAAGACTGATAAGACTGAGGTAGAAGAAGATCTTATACTTATTCCTGGTTGTGATGGATGGCCTAGACCAGGGTTCCCAGAACTCTGGGAGTTGAAATCCACAAATCTTAAAGTTGCCAAGGTTGGAGACCCTGGTCTAGAATATCCAATTTTTCTAGTTGGAGCAACACTCATAAATTATGAGGTCTCCCTGAAGGACCAAGCTTCAAAATTATAGAAAGGGAATTTAGCCATAACAACCATGTGGCTTAGTGAAGGGCCAAATATATGTTTAAATTGATATTTTTTGAGCCAACTTATGTGTAAAAATTTAAAAATAAAAAACCCTGCCAGCATTTTTGCTCCAGAGTCGATACCCAGTAGAATTCTGTGGAAGATAGCATCTAGGCATTTGCTGGGAAATTATACCGATCCTGCCATTTTGGAATTTAGTGATTTCCGCAAGAAGCTCAAATGCTCATTTTTGTTTTACCCCATTCCATTGGGAAGGCGGTCTGCTAAAGATCTAATCTTGGCTCCACTGTTTCTCATTTAATTCATATAATGAAAAAGGCAAAAGAATCTTCCATTTGTTCTTCTCCAAATACCTTTTAATTTTTCAAGACATTTGCAATGGCAGTCACACGGAAGCGGATGTTCACCACTTGCGGCAGTCTTTCCATTTCTTTTGCCTTTTTGCTTTTCCTTTCAGAGGGCTCCACTCAATTTAGGTCACTCTTGTATTGCAAAGATAAAGGCTTTTATTTATTTATTTATCCCTGAATAAGACTGGGTGTCTCCGAAGTACAATACGAACCATTCCTTGCCAGAAAGGCTGGCTGAATGAAGACTATCAGCTGTTATTTTCCTTTTGCAGTAATGTAAGGCAGAGTTGAGCTCAGTTTGAACAGTCTGGCCCAGATGGGATTTTTGAAAACATCCTGATTTAAAGAGATATCCACATCTCACTTATGGGCCTGTTTGCTGAAAGACTTGCTCTTTCAATACTGGAAGGTCTCATAGAGACGTTATAGCAATAACATCTTAGATTTAATAGCACTTAGATTTATATACCACGTCATAGTGCTTTACAGCTCTCGCTGAGCTGTTTACAAATGTTTGATGATGGGAGCCACATTCAAAGATGGCAGAGCGGAGAGAGGAAACCCTAAAGGCACAAAACTAGCTGCAAGAGCAGGGCCCAGCTAGAAATATATTCTCTGAACTTTTTATTTTTTAAAAGTTTGATAACTAGGGAAAAAGGGACGACTCAGACTTCTGTGACTTTCAGTTGGCCTGGCCAATGGCAATGGCACTTCACAATAGCAATAGCACTTAGACTTATATACCACTTCATAGTACTTTACAGCCCTCTCTACGTGCTTTACAGAGTCAGCCTATGGCCTCCAACAATCTGGGTCCTCATTTTACCGACCTCGGAAGGATGGGAGGCTGAGTCAACTTTGAGCTGGTGAGAATTGAACTGTTTGCAGCCAGCAAAATTAGCCTGCTGCATTCTGACCACTGCACCACCATACTATCTGGGATTATTTTCTAATTACAATACACTTTCTTTTTCAGAAGTGTAACCTGCCATGAGATGCTTTGAAGGATTATTTTAAATATATGCATAAATACATAAGGATGTATTAGCTCAGTAACTTCAGATTCCCCAAATATTTTACACAGCAGCCACTCCAAATCCTTTTCATTATGGATACTGATCAGGGATTGTAGCAGTTGGTTGGTCCAATAATTAGCTGTCTGTGTTTGACAAAGAAAACCACTGGAGTTTTCCTGACAAGTTATTAAATCCTCGTTACTCCAGATTGCACAGGTTAATCAGAAATGTTAGTTGTTGTTGCTGGGCCTTTCAAAGATGAGATCTTATAAGTCCTACTTGGAAGTAGGATTTTGTGTTTGTGTGTGTGTGTGTGCCTTGTGTAGTTGATCCTATCAACTGTAGTGATCTGTTTGTGAGTTCGCGCAGAGAAGAGAGGAGAAATATATAAAGACAGCAATAATATAATTTTTTAAAAAGGTTGGCTCTTCCAGCAAGGTAATTTGGCCTCTGCTGAGCCAGCATTATATACTGTTGCGACAAGATTGATTTCTTAATCTCTCCCCCATCAGTAGAACAGGTATGGGCAGAAGATAGATTACAGAGTTTCTAATTCTGAATTAGCACCTTGCTAAGGCTGCTGAAATGAAAAACCCTTCGATTAATCAGCAATGGACTTAGATCTCGGTTCCAGGACTAAAAAAATGCCTTCCTAAATTGAGTGTTTAGTGGGACATGATTGGTTTAGCATTTAGAGCACATGATTGCTTTGTCGTTCAGGAGCATTTCTTTGATTGATGCCTTCTAAGGAATAAGAAAAGACACAAGTAACAAATCTGAGAAGTTTGCTCACTCCCGGGCCAGAATTCTCATAGGACCATCAGGCTGGTGCAACAGAAACATCCATCCTGGTCATAAAATCAGGTGTGGTTGTGTGATGACCCGCATAATGACTGGAATGACTTACAATTGCAATTGCAGGTTCTGTTATGGTTGTGAGTTGAGGACTGCATGCAAAGTTTTCTTGACAGCATAGGAGAAACTTTGATAGATCAATCAAGAAAATCTTTATTACCATGATAGGCCATCATATACTTGCATAGAGAATGTGTTTGATTGCTCTCAATAGATGAGCCAAAATGATGTCTGTTCACATTTCTAGTACACACAATGAGAATCGGGGGGGCTGGTCCCCCACCTAAACGCATCAATAAACCTATTGCATATAAAAGCGTGTGCTAAATAATTTCTATAACTGAATATGAGGCTTTAGATGACTATGAATTTTCTGTAGATAATTGTAAATGGCCTTACCAGATGGATTTTGTGAGCATGTTATCTTAATATCTGCCCATAATTTCATTCAGGAAAGAAGCCTTTCATCAAAAACCAGGTGAGTGGGCATAAACTTGAAAGCAAGTTGCTCAAAGCCAGAGTTTCCAATGGAATTCAAGCAGTGGTAAAAACCAATTTTTTTTACTACCGGTTCTGTGGGTGTGGCTTGGTGGGTGTGGTGTGGCTTGGTGGGCATGGCAGGGGAAGGATATTGCAAAACCTCCATTCCCAGCCCACTCTGGGGCCAGCCAGAGGTGGTATTTGCCGGTTCTCCGAACTACTCAAAATTTCCGCTACCGGTTCTCCAGAACTTGTCGAAACCTGCTGGATTTCACCCCTGAATTCCAGGCTGCCTTGCTTGCAATGAAGGCATCTCTACCGCCTGATATTGTCCAAGGAGTCACTTTCTTTGGGAATGTTGGGAGTTTGATAAAATCAGCCCAATGTTTCTTGTTAATAGTTTGTCCTTCCTAAAGCACTATCGGAGTTTTCTTACTTTCTTTCTTATTTATTCCTTCAGATTATTACCATCAGGGATTACATTCCCAAAATCATTGGTCTGGATGCTTTCGAACAATACATTGGTCCTTATCAAGGCTATGATCCCACAATCAATCCAACAGTAACCAACGTATTTTCGACCGCAGCCTTTCGCTTTGCTCACGCTGCAATTCATCCACTGGTGAAGAGGCTCAATGCGCAGTATAAGGAAGACCCAACGCTTCCTAATCTTTACTTGCATGAGGTTTTTTTCATTCCCTGGAGACTCATTAAAGAAGGTACTTCGTGTAATGCAGTTACATCCACTAACATCGCTACAATATTCTTCCTAATTGAATTCTCTTTCAAAGAAAAGGTTTTGTTTTCATTCCAACATTGTTCTGACTGTTGAATCATTAGCTGACACATTTTGGTTTTCTGCTTCTAGCTGGTAGAATTAATTACGCACCCTTTTCATTTATTTTTGCTTTCTGAATAAATTGGGCTTGTCAAATGGGTTACAATCCAGGGTGGAATAAGGATATGTGTACACACGGCAAGGTGTACTGTATATGAAATACAATCAAAGCTCTTACTTTCTGAATTATTGCCATAATTTTTCATTTGTTCGATAGGTCTAGACTAATTTTTTATAGTGTGATGTTATAAATAGAGTACCAATAATACCTAAACCTCCAATTTACAGTGCAGATCTAGGAAACAAAAAAAATCCTCCAGATGTTGCTGAATGTCTTCCAGCAAACCCAACCAGTAACGGTGAAGGTTTTGTGGGTAGTAGCTCAGCAACATCAGAAAGCCTTCACTATTGACATCTTGTTTCTGAAGAGGTAGATATTGCGTGATCAATAAAGAAGAATATTTGTAGCTCATAGTTGAAATGAAGGGTCCTTGAGCTTGATTGTTTTCGTGCAGATTTTTCATTACTCAATCTAGGTAACTCGGGAACACTGATGATGCTACCTAGTAATGAAAGGTCTACAAGAACAGAGAGCACCAAGGACCCTTCATGTAGGATGGTATAAGGCTGTGGGATAGGTGTCTCCACAATCCTTTGCTTCCTTATATAGTAACTTTTCAGCTTAATGGAACTTAACTTAGCAGACTTTGAATGCAAGAGACCGCCCTGAGTCCTGCTGGAGAAGGGTGGTATAAAAATCAAATAAATAAATAAATAAATAAGTCTATCCATATACTGCACACTTCTGTGCAGGCATAAATTCCCATTTGCCATTTTATGCATTCCTTTGGATGTAGTGAACTTTCAGTCTTAACACATAGTCTTTTTCCCCCTTAGCCTGTTAAATCCAGAGCTTAGCATACATTTTATAAAGAAAAGATTATGCATCAATGGGCATAACTGACCTAATGATATTAAATAAAAAGTTGTAATGACAGGTAAGTTATTTTTCTTGGATAGTTAATGAAATCTTACCTGTAAGCACTCATCCTAACTAATTTAGTTTCTTATAAATGCTACTTATTTTTGTGGTCGGAGGTGGTTTGGATCCCTTGCTAAGAGGAACGCTAACAACTGCAGCAAAACTTCAGGTCCAGGACCAATTGCTGAATGAAGAATTAACGAAGAAGCTCTTTGTATTGTCCAACAATGCTTCCTTGGATTTATCATCACTTGATTTACAACGGGGACGTGATCATGGGCTCCCAGGTATATTGGTTTTTTTTTTTCTTTAAAGATGTTCTATGTCAACATTAGAATGAAACACAATGTATATTTCTTCTGTGACTTGAATATCGGTTATGATTATTCAAAGCTATTTTTTTCCTGAGGGGGTTGGTAGAATGAGTTTCATGTGATGCTGGCTTTCTTTATCGCAGAAGTGGTCAAACTTGGGGATGGATCAAGTAGATAATGCCGCAATGCATGCTACCAACAGCCTGTGATAGCAGAGAAATAGTGTCCAAAAGTACAAGAAATGTCAATTTCTCTGCCTCTGTTCATGAGGAACAGCCTTCTTTGATTAAGAAGATAATCAAAGGACATAACGGGGAAGATTTAACATTTGTTTACCAGCCACTTTCCCCACAAATTAATTGATCCTGCTGCAAAGAAGTAATAAGATTATAGTTCTTGCCTGCAGCCGTTACTCCAGAATCAGAATCAGAATAGAGGTGAAAGGGACCTTGGAGGTCTTCTAGTCCAACCCACCCTGCTCAAACAGGAGACCCTATACCAATGATGGCTAACCTTTTTGCCATCAAGTGCCAAAAGCGGGGGGAGCGCGAGGGGGGTTGCGCACGCGTGTGCCCACACCCATAATTCAATGTGCCCCACCCACCTGCATGCGCGTGCGACCCCCTCCCCCCGCGCTCCCTCCATTTTTGGTATGCGATGGCACACTGGGCCAGGTAGGCCCCTTTTTCGGCCTCCTGAGGCTCCAGAAGCTTTCTAGGAGCCTGGGGAGGGCAAAAACACCCTTCCCCACCCCCCGGGAGGCTCTCTGGAGGCCAGAAACAGCCCGTTTCCCAACTTCCGGTGGGCCCAGAAGGCGTGAAAATCAGCTGGCCAGCATGCGCACTGGAGCTGAGCTAGGGCAACGCTCACGTGCCCACAGATATGGCTTCGCATGCCACTGTGGCACGCGTGCCATAGGTTCGCCATCACGGCCCTATACCATTACAGACATGTCCAGTCTCTTCTTAAAAACATCCAGTGATGGAGCACCCACAACTTCTGGAGACAAGCTGTTCCACTGGTTAATTGTCCTCACTGTCAGGAAGTTTATCTTCAATTCCAGGTTGCTTCTCTCCTTGATTAGTTTCCACCCATTGTTTCTAACATTATGTTGTATGTTGTGCACATTGAAAGAGTAACCAAGGTTTACAGGAGTAGATTTCAAGGCATGATTTTTATTCATTCCTATTACAGGTAGTCCTCGACTTACAGCAGTTCATTTAGTGACCATTCAAAGTTACAATGGCACTGAAAAAAGTGACTCATGACCGTTTTTCACAGTTACAACCTTTGTAGCATCCCCATGATCACGTGGTCAAAATCCAGATGCTTGGCAACTGGTTCATACTTATGATCATTGCTGTGTCCCAAGGTCATGTGATCACTTTTTGCAACCTTTTGACAAGCAAAGTCAATGGGAAAACCAGATTCACTTAACAACCGGGTTTCTAACTTATCAACTGCAGTAATTCACTTAACAACTATGACAGGAAAGGTCATAAAATTGGGCAAAACTCACTTAAGAGTTGTCTCACTTAACAACAGAAATGTTGGGCTCAATTGCAGTCGTAAATCAAGGACTACCTGTATTTACTTTCCAAATTCAATTCCAAAATAACCCCATTAAGGTATGCAAGTATACCATGTGACTGTAACTCTTTAAAGCTTACCTGGTGGATGCAGAGAGTAACTGTGTGAACACATGAAAAGTGTGGCTGCTTTAAAGAGCTGCAGACAAGTACTACTCTTCCTCCCCTGCACATTCTAATGCACCTTTTCCAAACTATGTCCTAAAATCTATATAGGCCTAATCTGCTCTTTCATACAGTATGGCAGGCCTGAAGATCCAATGCAAAAGATGGCTTCCAGGCCTGGAGCAGGAGAGATATATATAGTCATAATAACATTCCTTTCTCTGAGAGTCAAGGACATCTTGCCCTGCACCTGGAGTGATGTGACTGGGAGGGATCTCCAGTTGGGACGGTGTATTGATTGGGCCATGTGATGGACATGTGAGTGCTGGCCAGGGACTTGGACTTTCCTATGGATGGGGGAAACCTGGAAGCTTTCAGATTCGGGTTTTCCCCAGATGTGCCAATATGTCATCTCTAATAAAATGGAACGTTGAGGAACTTCTAGCCTCGGAGACTTTTTTCATTGGGGGTGTTACTTGGAATCCTGACATTGTATTCATTTTCCTACTTAACTAAAACTTTTAATATCAGATGAAACATTCCATTCATGGTTTCAGAGCTCTAGTTTTTCAATCCGTTAACCATCAATTTCCAATCCTCTTTCCTATGTTTTATATAATTCACCTCAATACAAGTTCCTCTGTTTTAATTAATAGAATATAGCTACTGTAATACTCTGACCTTGAAGATTAGCTGTTAATAGCGAACTTGACATCTTTGAGCCTCTTACTCTTGAAAAGCCCTAAATCAAATTAGTGATTGGTTTGCTATTATGATAAGCAGGACCATGCTGGACTGGGACTTATTAACAAATCCAGTTACAGTTTTGCATCACAGCCACCAGTATTTCCACAAACGTATTTTGCAGAAAAATTGCATCTATATACAATTCTGATGAATCAGAGAGTCTGAAGGTTATATTGATGCAATGTAAGATGAAGGCTATGCAAAATATTTACTGTCCCACAGCTTCATTTGCATAGGGTTGCAGATTTGAATTGGCAAGGCCAATTGTATCTCAAATCCCCTCTCAAAGCTTTTTTCTCTGATTCTTGGGCTAGTTTCAATTAAAACTAGCTCAATACTTGGCCCTAAAATTACATTGGATAGGTGGGCTACATAGCCAATGTAATTTTTTGAGCGAGCAGATGGGATTCCAATATGACAAATACATTCTTTATGCCAAGACAAAGCAATGACTTTTTCTAGTATTTTTTTAAATACTAGAAAAAGTCCACTGTTGCTCTAAGCTCAGTTTACACATGGATTGGGAGCCATGAGGATACAGTATATCAGGGCTAAGATGCTGAGCTTGTTGATCGAAAGGTCAGCAGGTCAGCGGTTCGAATCCCTAGTGCTGTGTAACATGAGCTCCTATTACTTGTCCCAGCTTCTGCCAACCTAGCAGTTCAAAGGCACGTAAAAAATGCAAGTAGAAAAATAGGGACCACCTTTGGTGGGAAGGTAACAGCATTCCATGCACCTTTGGCATTTAGTCATGCCGGCCACATGACCACGGAGACGTCTTTGGACAGCGCTGGCTCTTCAGCTTAGAAACGGAAATGAGCACTGCCCCCTAGAGTTGGAAATGACTAACACATATGTACGAAAGGAACCTTTACCTTTACCTTTAGGCTTGACAGGAAAATTGAAAAGAATCCCAAAAGATGGTACTGCCACATCGCTTGCATATCATTGCCACAAAAACTGCATGGTTATATCCATAGGGTCCCAAGGATTCTCATTTTACAAAAAGCTTTTGGTACAAAAATTATTATTTCATGGAGGCAGGGGTTCAGGTTTTTTAGAACTGATGCACTGCTAACACAGTAAGGGGTATTTTTGTATATCTAAAAAAGAGAAATATTTTGAATCTTATTGTGTATGCAATATCTGTAGGTTACAATGACTGGCGAGAATTCTGTGATTTGCCAAGACTAAGGACAGAACAGGAGTTGATGACAGCAATAGAGAATAAAACCGTTGTCCAAAGAATTATGGAACTCTACAGAAACCCCAACAATATTGATGTCTGGCTGGGAGGAATAGTAGAAAGTATTCATCCTGATGCCAGAACGGGTCCCTTGTTTGCATGTATCATTGGAAAGCAAATGAAAGCATTGAGAGATGGCGATAGGTAAATTTACTATACCTGCATTATTGGATTATACTTGCTTTTACAGAACAGACTGGGTGAGCCATTTAGATATCTGGACTCAATAGGTTTGGTGATCTTCAGCACAGTGAAGCCTTCCTTCCTTCCTTCCTTCCTTCCTTCCTTCCTTCCTTCCTTCCTTCCTCTCTCCCTCCCTCCTTCCTTCCTTCCTTCCTTTCATTCACATTATCACCACATTACTATCATCATTACTATCACCCCCACCATCATGTTAGCAACTGGAAGTTATAGCTTCTGCCAAGGAGGAATAACAAACCCTCTGTGACTTACAAAATTGGACTGAGGATACCTGATAGAACTCAGGGACTCAATACCCCATTACATAGCTAACATCCTCTGCCAATATAGCACCAGTGATCTCTTTGCAGATGTTCCCATATCAGTGCAAAGATTGCTGGGTTGGAGGTAAGCAAGCCCCCGTTCAAGACCTGAGTGCTGCTGTGTGACGGGGTGAGCTCCCATCATTTGCTCCAGCTTCTTGGTGGGGACATGATAGGAGCCCCCCTGGACATCCCCTGAACAATGGTGATGTGACTAGCTAATCTTTTCAACCCAGAACTGCCTTAAACGATACCCCTGACATGAACAAGATTTATTTATTTATTTTATTTATTTATTATTAAATTTATATACCGCCCTACTCCCGAAGGACTCAGGGCGGTGAACAGCCAAAAGATAAAATACACATAGTGGTGGAGTACAGATGGTGGAGTACAAAGATCTACAGTGGATAAGCCTGTCCAGAAACAGGTATACCTGTAATGTTGTCCAGGTGAACCAGAAGCCTGCTTTACTAGGGAACTGTTGCTTGATAGAAACCAAACTGGATACAATTATAGTACAAACATCTTCTCGGTGTTCACTCTGAAAGCACATCATTTGCAATAGAAAAATATCATTGACAAACACTGACATGCTCAGTGCTCTGCGTCTTTAGTGCCTGAACAAAGTTACATTTCTCTCACACGGTGAAGTAGAATTCCATTCAGTATTCTTATTACTGCACCTTTAAATCCATAATATTACTTTTCTTCCATATCCTTCGATGCAACGTATAATCCTTAGCCATTCGTGAGATTCTATTTTGTAATACTCTACTCTCTACACAAATTTTAATCCATTTCTAACCATGCCCTAATACATATTTCAATATCAACAAATTTAGTTCTATGAAATCGGGATATATACTGAAAGATTGTAATTGTATTGGGATCTTCTTCCTGTGCAGATTTTGGTGGGAGAACGTCAACATTTTTACTGATGCTCAAAGGCAGGAGCTTGGAAAATATTCTTTATCCAGACTTATTTGTGATAACACAGGCTTGACGGAAGCACCCCCTGACCCTTTTCTACTTGGAAAATATCCTAAAGATTTTGTGTCATGTGAAAATCTACCTAGCATTAATTTAGGACCTTGGCTTGAAGTCCTTTGACCAGGTAACTTGAAAACTAATAATAGATTCATCTGCAAGTGTTTACTTATAAATAAATTCTATTTCATTTCTGGAGCATAATCCCAGATAAATAAACATAGGATTGCTGCCTTAATATCTTCCCCTTAGTTAGGGAATAAAAATATACAGAATGTTTTGAAGGATGGAACAGGAAGCAACATGCTTTAATGTCTTCCGCCACCAATTATAAGTAGATCTTTTTGCATTGCATGAAAGGATTATGAAAGTATGCAAGAAATATTGCTCAAAATAGTATCAATAGCTGTGGTGCTATTGATCAGAGCGCCATCCCTTTTAATGTACACATACTGACACTGTGGATTCCCTACAAATGCTACCGGTTCAGAATTAACCTTTTGTGAAGCTTTCCTTATTAAGAATCTAAATTACACCTAGCAAATTGAATTTACTTTCATGTATAGGCATGGGACAGGATTAGATTAAAACCATGAACTGCCTTTTAATTACGTTGCTGGATCTCTAAAAAGCTTGCCAATGCAGCATTTATATACCTGCCAAATTTAAAGAAATCAGGGGCAATACAATGGAATCAAAGCCAATTAATCCAATGAGTGAATATATTGGCAAGGAGAACATATGTATATATATTCATGCAGACAACCAGCTACAGGAGATGTGGTGGCACAGTGGTTAGTATGCAGTATTGCAGGCTACTTCTGCTGATTGCAGGCTGCCTAAAATTTGGCAGTTTAAATCTTACCAGGTTCAAGGTTGACTCAGCCTTCCATCCGTCTGAGGTGGGTAAAATGAGGGCCCAGATTGTTGGGGGCAATATGCTGACTCTGTAAACCACTTAGAGAGGTCTATAAAGCACTGTGAAGTGGTATGTAAGTGCTATTGCTACTGGAACATCCTCAGAATCTGTTAAATGTACATGATTTTAATGCAACAGAAACAAAGGCTACCGGATCTGAAGTGCAGGACTCTGGACAGTTGGTAAATGGCAGTAGACAGCACTCCATATATGACAATTCTCCACAAGTCATTATTCCAGCTGCAACACAGCCTGATAGAATATAATGATATGGCTTCCTAAATAAGTCAGAGTTGGTTTTATAAGTCACAGTAGGTCATAATTGGTTTAATTATGGCTTATTTAAGAAATCAGAATTGGATTCACAGAAGTTAAGCCATAACCATGGTTTACAAAGCAAGTAGCAGAGTTCTCACTTCCTTTAAATGAAACAAACTTTGTATGGCTTGGACCAATGTGTTAACCAAAGTAATCTCTGTGAGAGACATACTCTGACACGATGGACATACCTTTAGGGTTCAAGGTGAATAAAAAGTTGGTTTCTTAATATTATTAACGGATATAAATTTCCTTATCTGGAGGTTGTAAGATCTTTTATGGAAAAAAATGTGATACTTTATGGCCTTGCTCAGAAAAAAGACCTTATCCATTCTCTGGGATAAGCTACAAAGCAGCAAATAGCTTATAAGGATATAGCTAGAATATAATATATTTGTATGCTTTTTTTTCCTTGTAAAAATATGGGCAAATTTAAATGACAATGGTGAGCACCAAGTTTAGACATTATATGGTTAGAATAAAAAGAATGCTTCCTTTAGAACAGCTTTAGAAGTTGTCTGCATAAAAGACGTTCATAAAGTAAAATCATGTGTCATTATGCGAGCACTGAGTGAGGCAATTAAGAAAAGCAGTATTTCAGCAGTTTAAGAAAATACAAATTGTACAAAAACACATATTGCAAAAGAAAAGCCCAAAGTTAAGGTGAAGAGTATTTTGGGGTATATGTAACAAGTGTGCTAACCCTGGAAAAGTGCTGTCTATTTTTTAAAAAAAATTATCATGATGGAAGATTCATTGGGAGATAAAATCAGATTTATATTTTATTAGGCAGTGGGTATATAACAAAAGAATTACTAGCTGTTGGTCAGTTTGACATCCTGGTAAATTGATTAAGGATAAAGAACTAAAGATAAATAACAGTAATAGCACTTGGACTTGTATATTGCTTCATAGTGCTTTACAGCACTCTCTGAGCTGTTTACAAATATCAGCCTATTGCTCCTAACAATCTGGGTCCTCACTTAACCGACCTCAGAAGGATGGAAAGCTGAGTCAACCTTGAGCCACTCAGGATCAAATTCCAAACTGTGGGCAGAGTTTGCCTATAATACGCCATTCTTAACCACTACGCCACCAATTAGAATACATTAATCGTGGCTAAATAAAATAGTAAAAAAAATGTATGCAAATTTTCAGGTTCTCCAGAATTCTCTTTGATGTAGGATGTTACAAAAGTGGTGAAAAAGTTAGGAGGAAAGCATGAAAGTCAAGAAATCTCCCCCGCCCCTCCACACATGCATGCCCTAGCAGGCCTCCCTGAAGCCTCTGAGAGGCTGGAAATGGCCCATTTCCGGACTTCCGGTACTTCCGGTAGGCCCGTTTTTCGCCCTCCCAGAGCCTCCGAGCAAGTCCGGTACTTACCTGGCATCCAAAATGGGCCATATGGAGACTCCTGGGAGGGGAGGGGTGGCGGGGGCATGGGCGGGGGCCAGCCAAAACTCAGCTGGCCAGCAGGAGGCGCTCAGGCATGCACGGTGGAGCTGACCTAGGGCGACGGATCGCGTGCTCGCAGAGATGGCTCTGCATGCCATAGATTCGCCATCACGGGTATATGTGGGGCTGTATTCAGCAAGATATATTGCTGTAAATTACTATCCTAGGTTTCTGTTCCTAACCATGATGGTGCTAAAGTAAGTAAACAGTCATTATGACACCGCAGTGCAAGTTCTGTCCTTTAGGACTTGAGTTTTGCTGTCACTAGTAAGTATGTAAGGAACAGAGATTGTGATGCAGACTTTATTCCTTTCCACCACAAAGTTGCTTATGATTCATGGAATCACTGTCACCTGAATAAACAATAAAAAATGTTTATTAATTGTTCCTTTAACAGCCAAATAATCTGATTAATAGGCACTCTTGAAAATTATTACATAATTATTACATCAAAGCAAAAGAAAAAACAAAGATATTACAAGGCTGTTCCTAAGTTTGTTACTTGCAGTAATTATTGTGTATTTAATTTTTCACATTTATTGCATAATTTTATGTAACGTATATATGTTTTATAAAATATGAAGGTATTAATTTGAAAAAAATGTATTTGTATGTAACTGCATGTACTGTTATATGAAAAATCTGGGCTTCACAACTGACTACACTATGAGTTAAATGCCCCTTAAAGTCTATAAGAATAATAATTTAGTAGAGTGGAGAATATGGCTTTTATTTCAGTATATTAAAGCCATCACCATCCACAAAGTTGATCCATGGACATTAATGTGCCTGGTTTTTCACCTCATGTTCTGTTTTTGCTTTAAGAGTTACAACCTGGTTCTCCAGTCAAAGAAGAACATGAGGACTTCATCCATTGCTTAGAAGCTGGAAAATCTTCAGTGCCACTAAAGATATAAGCTACTTGGACAAAAACAATTATCCTGTACAAAAGGGATATGGAATTCAGAACTGCCAGTCTGCCAAGATGCTTCTCTTTTTTAAACCTGATATTTTCATCACAATTAAATATTTCAACATAGCCCCACTTAATGTCATTCCTTTTGTTTTTATTTACATATTTTTACTTTAAAAATTATATGAACAAAAGCAAAACATAAGAACATATGTAAAGGAAAGTTAAGGAAAAGATACAAAAAATTGTGAGAAACTATACAAATAAATATAAACATGGATCAGAGGTTGCAATAAGATTCATATGAAGCCTTCATGCAGTTCAAAAGCATATAATTTAGTTTAAGAAATCTTTGGTAGATTTAATTATAAGTAGTCCTGGACTCACTACCACAATGGAGTCCAAAATTTCTGTTGCTAAGTGATACTAAGTGAAACAGTTGTTAAGGGAGTCTTGCTCCCTTTTACAATCTCTCTTGCCACCGTTGTTAAGTGAATCAGTGCACTTGTTAAGATGATAACATAATTGTTAAGTGAATCTGGCTTCCCCATTGACTTAGCTTGTTAGAAGGTCACAAAAGGTGATCACAGGACCTCAGGACACTGCAACCATCATAAATATGAACCAGTCCAGCCTTTGTGTGCCCTTCCATTATTATAATTAAACTTCACTTGCGCTAAATTGGAAAGAGAGCATCACTTTCAGATAGATTCAGAAATTTATCAATACTTAATGTAGATTCCAAACACATAGGTACCACAGGGAAGAGTGATCCTGGGAAGAATCACTTTATTTAGCTGTTTCCTTGGAAGGAGGGAGAATTCCAATCTTGCAGATTTGTCCATCAATTTCTCATTAATAATCTTAAAGATAATTGCCAGATTGGATCCATGTCAACTTATACTGCATTTATTTTCTGTACTGAATGATGTGCAGTATGTGTGTGTATGTGTGGTAGGGCCTTTTTTACTTACCTAAAACTTTAAAAACAAACTCTACGCATTTATAAAAACAACTATCTTTGAAAAGCAGAGAGGAGTTCTCTAGCATTTGTTAGAGGAGCTGAAGCATTTTACAGGCTATTGCAGTCATGAGATAATGGAATTATAGAAGGTTTGTGCAATCAAAGGATTTCAAGCAGGTGAGGAAAAACAAGAAACCCAAAGACTGACTGTGGGGTTCAGTTGAGTGGGTGGAGGAGAAGTCTCAACCCCACGATCATCTCTGTAGGCCCAGCTTCCTTCCCACCTTGATCCAACTTCCAGGTAGGACCTGCTACCACAATCATCTTCCTAAAGAAAAGAAATGCTGGGCAAAATAATAATGGCAATACTATCAATAATAATTATTAATACTATCATTTGCCTATCCCAGGTCCTTGTGAAGGATTCGAGAGGGGGACAAAAGTGCCAAATCCAGTCTGAATATCTGGCTGACTATGCAACGAATCAAGAAATCGCAACGAATTACTATAGCAACTGTTTTTGGCCCAAGTAGCTTTAAAGCATATGGCCAGATTTCTTTTGAGATGAAAACAAGAGCATCCATCTTACATTTTCAAAATGGATTGTATTAAAAATACAAACAGAACTTTTCTTTTAGCTTTAGGTGTTCAAATGCCCAAACAATTACACTTTGATGGAACAAGGCATTTACCTGATAAAATCACAACTCCTCAAAGATCAATCTCTCACAAAATGCTGTGGGGTGATTGAATACAGAGCGGGTGAGATTTATGATCCCTATATCTTGAATAAATGGATAGATAGATGATAGATTAAATAGATAGACAGGTTAAATAGCTAGATGATAGATTAAATAGCTAAATAATTAACAGATATACTTAAAATAACAGAAAACACAGTTACAGACTGGCTTTCCTGGCCAAGGTATAGTCTGTGGATTTCTGATTTCTGTGGAGAGAAGGATTCCCTTGAATGCATGGGGTGGAGGGAATTATCCCCATCTTTAAAGGGAGGAAAGAATCCAATGGATGGTTTGGATCAAGTTCATTATTAGGACATTGTTCTGTTATGATTTTTGGTCATAAGAAAGATGGAGGAGTTGGACTTGGATTTGCATAATGCTAAATCAATCCATTCCTTAAGAAAGCCAGAGGTGCTTGGCTAACATCTCTTCCTTTGTGTTCTGAGATTATTAGTGCAGACCATACTTGTTCCTCAATACTTGATTTAATTTTATATTTTAAATTTATTTTCTTCCATCTTTATCAATTTTAGAAATAACTCGAGCAGAAAACATACCTAATGCTCCTTCCTCTTCTTATTTTTCCCACAACAACAACCCTGTGAAGTTGGGTGACAGAGTGGAACTGTCCCAAAATCAGCCAGATGGCTTTCATGCCTAAAGCGGGATTAGAACTCACAGTCCTGGTTTCTAGCCTGGTGCCTTATCCTCAACTTGACAAAAGACAAACCTGTACATATTTATTTGTCCACAGAGCTTTGCATTACTCTCTAATAAGCCACAGCATTCAGGAAGATACCTTGATAAAATGATGAATTCATTTGCATGCATGAGCCGGTAGATTCTCTATTAAGCTGCCTTATCAACATTTCTGAGAGGAGAAAGTGATTCAGATAACGCGACAGGAAAGGGAGCAAATGGCATCACATACCTCATTATGTAATTTGTGACACATGGGATATTGTTGTGTCTTGATCCGTTTGCCTACAGATTTAGATGATCTGAGGGGGGAAATGCGACTTTCTCTTTTATTCACATCATATATATCCCCCTAAATTCTATCTACCAATATGCCAGGCAAAATACAGAAGTATTAATAGTGTTATAATATCATTCTCCCTGCCTCTCAGCAGAGTAATATTCTGACAACAAACTGAATGGGCAAGTTGCATAAATCTGTAATTTATTCTCCGAGACATTGTTTACGTCCAAACAAAATAAGCTGCAGTGTGCCTCCTGTATGAAAATAAGCAGCATAATGGGACTTGACAAAATAGGAAGAAAAACAACAATCAAAGACTGTCAGTAAAGATCATAGTTTAATTTATACAGTAGGAAGCCTTGACTTCTTCCCTGTACAGCCTATTCTCTGTCTTCCATACACAATCAGGCAGATGAAAAAACAAATCAAGAAATAAACACCTGCTGAGCAGATATTTGCTGAAATTACAGGAAGCTCAGAGAAACCAACAGTCCCTTCTCCATTACATTGTCCTGGGATGTTGTTCTGTGGAGATATTCTGTTTTTCCCGTTGTATTCAGAATCACATAGAAAGATATGTATGTAGGGGAATAACATTCAATACCGAATATGCCACTGGATACACCAGGCCCAGAATTGGCCAAACTGAAATAAATTGTCCTGAAAATCTGAAGCTCCACAACTTCTACTGTAATCCTCCTTCTGAGGTAAAAGTTCATAAGCTTTAGTTGCTTTGAAAAGTCCATTCCATTTCATAAATTCATTTTTATCTTTTTGAACAGAATAGAAATCAATCTCAGTTGGATGTGGATGAACCTTAAGCTTAAGAAAAAGTTGCAGGACAAACAACATAGCTACTCCACCATTACTCTTCCTTTTCGAAGGAGGAGGAGGAGGAAGAAAAAGGGGAGGAGGAGGCTTGGACCTCTTTGAAACTTCCTGCATATCATTTTAAGAAATTTCAAAGTTGGGTCCCCCAAAATAGAAAATACTATCTTGACTACAAAAATGTTTACCAAAATAAAGCATCTGCAGAATTATTCCTATAATACAAACAGAATTAGCATTAACAATATGGACAAGTTTATGCTAAAAAAAAATAGGACATCTAAAACGAAGAGCCTAAACTCTTCTGGCTTCTGCTTGAAATCTTCAGTGAAGCTTTGCCACAGTATAGCTGCCTGTTCTTGTAAGCCACCAGCTGTCTATCCAACCTCCCAGTCTCAACCACAAGATTCCTGCTTCTCCAGTTTAAGATTGACTTCAGCCAACAATAATAACAACATATCTTCTTTTAACTTTAATCAAATAAACCAATGTTATACTCATTCTTTTACTTCTAATATTCTTAGTCATTAGTATGTTCAAATGTTGTTGTTTTCATTTCTCTTTTGTCCCATTGCCTACCAGTTCTTTGAGGCTTTAATAAGCCTCAAATTTCTTTTGTAAATTCAAGAGGAAAAAGTTACCCAGGTCACTGTCTTGGTTCATCATTTGTATTTTTCTTTTAAATTTTAAAACCTCAGCCACTTTACTTTCTAGATCCAGTGAAACACGGATTTGCTTATATTTAAGAGTTGAGATATGTAATGCTTAATATTGCATTTGTTAATAAATGTGATTAGGACTCTCTTTGGACTTTCTGTTGACATCTGCATTGAAAAAGATGTTGCTTATTGGACTTGTGTATAGTTAAAAGTTGAGTTATAGGATGAAGAGTTTTGTTAATTAAGAAGATCTGAAGAGATAGTAAAATTGTTTATACTAGTCGTGTGGGTGATCTCCCATTCTCTTCTTATCAAGAGAGGTCCCAAGGAGCCTGTCTACTCATTGGTTCCTTGGTGTTTGCTCTTATCCATTTTTGCACAGTCGTTTTCACTTTATGTATGTCATGTGTGAGTCATGTATGAATGAAATTCTCAATAAAACTTTATTAATCAATGGTTATACCACACCATCTTCCTTAGGACTCATTTATATTTTTCTACAAGGTGTAAATTTGTTTGTGCTTCATTAAAGGTTTCTGTTTCAATTAATCAAACAGCTATTTATCCTTATATACTCTAAAGTGCTACCATTTTAGAATCAACTAGACATGACAAACAGTCACAGTACTTCTAATCCATAAAGTAAAATTAAAGGGGATCAATGCCTAATATACACAACAACCAGAATTTTACTGGGAGAAATATACCATTGCTGCACATAATTCTGCAAAGGCTTTGCCTTCTCCCTGCATAACAATTTAAGATTTTTGTTTTGTCATGGTTTCCTGGTACAAACAGCTCAGTCTTTATATCTAG